TCTTCAGAAACCTCTTTTTTCTGGTTTTGTTTATTTGTGAGAAATGAAGTTTATGAAACTTGGATCCAAACCGGATTCGTTTCAGTCTGATGAAGATTGTATAAGGTAAAAAATGTCTTCAAGATTTGAGTTTATTTGCATTTGATTTACTTTGGATTCTTACTTTTTTGTATTTCTGGTTGTTTCAGGTATGTAGCAACCGAGTTAGCTACTGATGTAGTTGTAAATGTTGGAGATGTGAAATTCTACCTTCATAAGGTAAATCAAAATCTCAATTTAGAAATCAAGAACTCGTTGGAACCATTTTGGTCTTTGCTACTGGTTGATAGTTGATACTAATGTGGTAACTTTTGGTTTGTTTTGGTTTTGGGGTTTAAAAACAGTTTCCTCTTCTGTCTAAAAGCGCTCGTCTTCAGAAACTGATTGCCGCTACAACGGATGATGAACAATCGGATGACGAAATCCGCATTCCCGATATTCCGGGAGGCCCTTCTGCTTTTGAGATATGCGCGAAATTCTGTTACGGAATGACTGTGACTCTCAACGCGTACAATGTTGTATCCGTGCGTTGTGCTGCTGAGTATCTGGAGATGTATGAATCGATTGAGAGCGGCAACCTTGTCTACAAAATCGAGGTTTTCTTGAACTCGAGTGTTTTAAGAAGCTGGAAAGACTCCATCATTGTTCTCCAGACTACGAGATCGTTTTATCCGTGGTCCGAAGATGTCAAAATCGATGTACGATGCTTGGAGTCTATCGCTTCAAAAGCTGCTACGGATCCGGCAAGAGTAGATTGGTCTTTTACATATAACCGAAGAAAGCTTCTTCCGCCCGAGATTCATAACAACAGCGTACCTAGAGATTGGTGGATCGAGGATATCGCCGAGCTTAACATTGACTTATACAAAAGACTGATTTCGACTATTAGAAGAAAAGGCGGTGTTTTGCCTGAGGTTATAGGAGAAGCTCTTGAAGTATATGCCGCAAAGAGAATCCAAAAC